GAAGGTCATACAAAAGCCAGCTTGAACAAGTGAGTCTTCAGCTGCTTTTTAAAGGAGATCACTGAGTCCACTGATCTCAGGCTCAGGGGGAGAGAGGTCCAGAGTCTGGGGGCCACAGCAGCAGATGATCTGTCACCATGCTTTCCTGTTTTATGTTGTTAGGCATGTTGCTTTGGGATGATGGTCCTGTCACTTTCGTAATGTGAGTGCCCTGCTGGTTTAGTTCGGCTGACCCGATAACATGCAGAATGCATAGGGAGCCTAAAGCCTAATTAATACTTCTCCACCAGCTCCACGAGGGAGAGACACGCACGCATGGACAGAGACAATTTGCCCTCATACTTCTCCGTCTCCTGGGGAGTGTTGCAAAGCAATTCCCCACCAGGACAACAGAGGGTGTAGCGCTGTTCTGTGGTATCCTGTCATGTATCTGGTCCAAATTAGTGTTTCTATTGTATTGTTTGTATTTAAAAGACGTTTTAACACAAATTTGACAAATTGGTCTTTCATCCTCGTCTACCTCTTCATCGCCACCTCTAAACCCACGTTTCCTGTCATTTCCGTCCACAAATAAAACGCTTGCTGGGCATCTTTTCACTCCTTCAGTCGCGGGCGAATAAAACGTTTATATTTTTAGTTTTTCCGTGAGGTATCCTTCAAGCTTCTCCATTATTCTCCGCTCTCTTTATGTTTTTGAGGGTGCAATGGCGGCGCTGTAGACGACAGCGGCGTCCTGACCAATCACAAGCTTGCGTTCTCTGTCTCGACAGACAGATGTTTAGAAAAGACAGCTGGACTTCGTCTGTCCTTGCAAGGCTGTCAGAGAGCCCTCGAAAGGACGGATAATGGCGTTGCGTGCGTCCGTCCCAATGCAGACTTTATTCACGTCCATCTACTTCTGGACCACGGTTCCCCAGAAAAAAAAACAAATGCAAGTCAACGGGGCTAAAAACACTATTTTCCAATTCCGCTTGTTATGTTCCATGGATTTCACACATGATGCCCATGAATTTTAAAGAAGCTTTTTGATACCAAGGATACGCTTATTTTCGAACAGGGGGAAACACTATTTGAGGCTTTGCGTGAAAATAAGTCCAGGAGTACAAATGGCTGTAAGTTCAGCAAACTTCTAATCCTTCCCACAGGAGGAAAAAAACCCATCATAAATCTGGCCATTTGGTGAGTAGCAGCTACGCTGTGGGAGAGATTATGTGGTGACTTTACATGAGACGTGCCGATGTAGTCACGCTAATTACCAACTTTTACAAACTGATAAATCTCAAAGTAGGTGACAGGTGTGGTCAAAAACACCCATCATTACTTTTCATTTAAATTGCCGTAGAACATATATGCGATCCAGGGCATCGTTTCCTTCTTCCAGGGACCCATGAGCTGACCGGAAAGGGAGGAGACTACAGGTGCTGGCCAGTAAATTAGAATATCATCAAAAGGTTGAAAATATTTCAGTAATTCCATTCAAAACGTGAAACTTGTACATTATATTCATGCAATGCACACAGACCAATGTATTTCCAATGTTCATTACATTTAAATTTGATATTCATAAGTGACAACTAATGAAAACTCCAAATTTGGTATCTCAAAAAATTAGAATATTCTGAAAAGGCTGAATATAGAAGACACCTGCTGCCACTCTAATCAGCTGATTTACTCAAAACACCTGCAAAGGCCTTTAGAAGGTCCCTCAGTCTTGTTTTGAAGGCACCACAATCATGGGGAAGACTTCTGACTTAACAGCTGTCCAAAAGACAATCATTGACACCTTGCACAAGGAGGGCAAGACACAAAAGGTGATTGCTAAAGAAGCTGGCTGTTCGCAGAGCTCTGTGTCCAAGCACATTAACAGACAGGCGAAGGGACGGAAAAAATGTGGTAGAAAAAAGTGTACAAGCTCTAGGGATAACCGCACCCTGCAGAGAATTGTGACGACAAACCCATTCAAAAATGTGGGGGAGATCCACAAAGAGTGGACTGCAGCTGGAGTCAGCGCTTCAAGAACCACCACGAGGAGACTCATGAAAGACATGGGATTCAGGTGTCGCATTCCGTGTGTCAAGCCACTCTTGAACAAGAAACAGCGCAAGAAGCGTCTCGCCTGGGCCAAGGACAAAAAGGACTGGACTGATGCTGAGTGGTCCAAAGTTATGTTTTCTGATGAAAGCAAGTTCTGCATTTCCTTTGGAAATCAAGGACCCAGAGTCTGGAGGAAGAGCGGAGAAGCACAGAATCCACGTTGCATGAGGTCCAGTGTAAAGTTTCCACCGTCAGTGATGGTGTGGGGTGCCATGTCATCTGCCGGTGTTGGCCCACTCTGTTTCCTGAGGTCCAGGGTCAATGCAGCCGTCTACCAGGAAGTTTTAGAGCACTTCATGCTTCCTGCTGCTGACCAACTTTATGGGGATGCAGACTTCACCTTTCAACAGGACTTGGCACCTGCACACAGTGCCAAAACCACCAGCACCTGGTTCAAGGACCATGGTATCCCTGTCCTTGATTGGCCAGCAAACTCGCCTGACCTTAACCCCATAGAAAATCTATGGGGTATTGTGAAGCGGAGGATGCAATACGCTAGACCCAACAATGCAGAGGAGCTGAAGACGACTATCAGAGCAACCTGGGCTCTCATAACACCTGAGCAGTGCCACAGACTGATCGAGTCCATGCCACGCCGCATTACTGCAGTTATTGAGGCAAAAGGAGCCCCGACTAAGTATTGAGTGCTATACATGCACATTCTTTTCATGTTCATTCTTTTCAGTTGGCCAACATTAGAGAAACAAACATTTTTTCATTGGCCTTTAGAATATTCTAATTTTCTGAGATACCAGATTTGATGTTTTCATTGGTTGTCACCTATAAATATCAAAATTAAACGTAATGAACATTGGAAATACATTGGTCTGTGTGCATTGCATGAATATAATGTACAAGTTTCACGTTTTGAATGGAATTACTGAAATATTTTCAACCTTTTGATGATATTCTAATTTACTGGCCAGCACCTGTAGGTTCCCTATACAGATTGCTACCGCATTATCTGGGTGCTTCAGCTCGACTAAAATCAGTGCGCTTTCTGCCAGAAAAACAAGTTTACATGCAATTTTTAAAAAACGTGTTTTTAGGACAATACTTTGGGGTTTTTTATGCACATGTAAACGCACTGAATGATTGTAAACTTAAGCCTTTTTGAAAGGAGAAAGACTGAAAACCACCCAGCCAACAGAGAAGGAAATCTGTTTCAGTGCAACTTTTCTTCCAACACGATTGAGACTAGGGCTGGGCGATATGGCAAAAATAGAATATCACGATTTTTCCAATATTTTAATCACGATTTCAATTTTATCACGATTTTTTATCCATGAATAGCATAACTTCAATTGCGTATTAAAGAGAAACATTGAATAAATAAACATTTATTCATATTAGGGATAATCAGCACAGTGCTAACACACTTATATTTTAAACTCACACCAGAGATGATAAAAGCCCTGAGAGAAACTATTACAAAAATCAGTTTTTCTCGTTTTTCAAGTAACTTAACATAAATTAAAATCGTAAACATATTTAAAGTGCAAACATGTCAATTGCAAACGTATTGTGCAAACATTAACTTGTTCAAAATACTATGTAGCTCCCAGTTGCTCATGTAGTGGATAGTTAAGCTCAAATACGGCTCTGATGTGCGGCTGTACCGGAGATCGCTTGTGGTAGCAAAAAACTGCACATTCTGAATATTTTCTGCAACAAGTCTCTAAATAAAGTAAAAATTTTCCAGTGCAGATTGGAGACAACCCATAGAAGCACTGATTTGATCTCATTTCAGAGAAAAATAGAACAGGTCAGATGCACCTAATAAATAAAATTACTAACAAACTCAGGAATCTTTCTTTGCTTCACTGTTCTGGTGCTGAGAATATCACTAATGCGGATCAAAGGAGATCCACAGATGAATGCACCTCTTATTAATTGGAAACTACATTTACTGCAGCTGGCAGAGGCAGAGATTGTTTCTATTGATACACGGATTTACAGAATCATTTTAAATGTTAATAGGGGAAGACTGCAGGAGGGAGCGGTAAAATACAGGGGGTCCCAGCAAAAACAAGAAACTACGAGTCTGATGACACCCGCTGGTTTTCCATCAGGCAGTCACGGGGCAGCTCCAACGACCCAGTGACCGAGCTCAGTCCGGCTCGGCAGAGGGTGGACGAGCCGAGGCGGCGTCGTGCTCTGCTTAAGAAGAAGTGTTATTTTCCTGCTTCAGAAGAAGCGTCCAACGTGTTTTTACGCTTTCTCCGAGACATGTCACGTCGCTAAGTTGTTAGCGCCGCGCGCTAAGGGAACCCTGCGTTCCTCTTTGGAACGAAAACCTCGTTGTCGCTCAGCCGCGGCCGAAGCCATGTTTGTTCACACACAGGTGAAAACAAGCGGGGCACTAATATATTACTATGACTCACTCTGATTGGTTAAGGGTCAAACAAAGGCGTGTCATTCGCCTGAGGTAAGTTCCATTTTCATTCAGAGGCAGAAATCCAACAGCAGAGCTGTGAATCGTGATACAACGGTCTCTCAAAAATGACAGACCGTCAGATGTGTAGATCGTAAAACGGTCTAAAATCGTCATATCGCCCAGCCCTAATGGAGACATTACCGTTTTTGCCATTATTTCACTGCAGATTTCTTACTTACTGTACCTTTAAAGAATGATGTTGGCATGAATCTCAATTTTTCCTAAAAGATTGGAGCCGTATGAAAAACAACTGCATCACAAGTTCTACTGGACAGTTATTTTTCCAAGCTGAGGTCTTGCAGGAAAACAGGAATTACTTATAGCCTTTGAGCAAAATCCCACTTGAAACAGGTGAGAATGTCTTTTTAAAGGCCAATGCCAGACTTGTTGACCTTTAACTGGTGTGCAAAAGTGCCAACATTGAGCCAATATAGGCAGTTTCCACTAAGAAAAGGGTGACAAATTGTGATCAGTTTAAATAACATTTACTTGCGCACATCACACATGTACAGAGACAATCATGGTGGTACAGAGGAAAGAACAGCAGTTGAAATCCTGAACATACAGTACAGCTGCATCTCTTGGTCCATACACAACATAACAGTCTGCTGTGGAGTCACTCTTTTAAACACATCAGCTCTCAAGCATACAACGAGCACACAGGGATCGGCAAAATATTCAAAAATAACACCAGACCAGAAAACAAAAGGTTTGGACTTCAAAAATGATCCAGCTTTTAACTATTTACACAGCAAATAACACTGAAACTGAAAATGCAGATGGAAGCCAACACAGGGCAGGATGATGATCACAGAAAAACAAAGTTAAGGCTCAAGTGTAGCTGCATTTTTAGCAGACGTCAGAGGTAATGAGTTTTCACAATCAAACTGTCAGCCAGATAATCACTTAAAGATAAACCAAAGGTTTGAAGAGGACACGTGTGACTGACCAACCATCTGCCACTTGCTTCCATTAATGAAACCACAGACAAACTGAGCTCTCACCCTAACCGGCTAACTCCAAACACATGGGCTGCACTCGTTATTCCAGCTGCCATGAAGCTAGTTTTCTTGGTGAAACAGGGCTGGGGGCACAGAGTTCACACCCACACCCCCGATCATCCAACAGGGCTTTGAAACTGAAAAAATTCAATTAATTTCCAAGACAAAAAAAAATTATCCAACTTGTGGACAAATGAGTGAAATGGCACCTTCTGCTGGTGAAAAACGATCATTTTCGTGACTTGTGTGGGGAACAGACTCGTAACACCAGTCGGAGGGTGAGGTTTGGGAAGATGAACAACGTGGAAAAGTTAAGGCTTCAGAAAACATCCCAGAATGATAAAGCTACGGTTCATAATTACACGGCCGGGCAGCACAGCTAGCACTGGTGGATGGAAAGCTGCATGTGAGGCAAAGCAAATCCAGTTCTGCAGCAAACAGGACAACCCCGTGGAAACATGGGAAACCAACACCACACTAACGTTTTACATCAACCAGGAAGGTCTTTAAAAAAGGAAACCCTCCAACATAAAGCTCGTTTTTAATACTCGGTCAGTCCCTTGGCCTGAGATTGACAGTTTGACATTAGAGCGATGTCAACCATTAAAAAAGCAGCACCGTAAACTGGCCAAACTACCACACACCACTCAACACAGGGATAATTAAAAACAAAAAAATGCTTTGAAGAAACAAAATCTTTTTCTATTTTACCTTTTTTCCTCATTGTACAAGTTAGACATCAAATTAAAATCAAATAAAGGGAAAGTAAAACATTAATTTACAAATCACAGTCAAATAAAACACAAAAGGAAAAAAATTATAAACAGCATAAAGATTTTCCATTGAGTGACATCACTTCCTAAACAGCGTTCAGCACCCCCCAGGGGTCACTCACAGGAGACAGAACCAAGGACCACCTAGCGGTCGAGTCCGTCGGAGACGTCAATGTGTCCTGGCGGTCGAATGGCTAATCTTACAACAAGAGGCGGCTTTTCAGAAAATACGCTTACGCTTGAGGTAGGAGTCTGCGTAGTGACCCCCGAGGCCTTGAGAGTGCTGGCCCACGTAGCCGCCCTCCGGGCTGGGCTCTGGGGAGGGGATCAGACGGGAGAAGACACGTTTGTGGCTCCCAATCGGTGTCTAGAGTTAACATAAAGCTCATTAAAACCCAGCTTAGAGTCAGAGCGCTAACCAAGCAAAAAGAGTTTAATTACCTTCATAGTGTTCCCCAGACCTGGAGGACAGTTCACACTGTGGCTTCCAGGAGGCATTCCCACTGCCTGAACACAAACAACCAGTTCTTAAACAATTGATGTTACAAGTTTTACACTAACCCTAACCCTTCCCAGCTCAGCCGTCTTATCGATTCTACCATCAGGTAATCGATGCTTCATAAAGGCGGAGAGAAGGTTCTGATCATCTCTAGAGTGTGCACGCACCCGATTAAGGCTGGTGGAGGAGAGGCTGCCCCTACCGGAGACCTCAGGCCCCGAGTTGAAGTACGAAGAGGGGGGTGGGCTGGAAGGATAAGTGTAGTGGGGAAACTGTTCGATGTAGTCACAATGATGAGAGCGCTGCAGAGAGTCCAGAAAGTTCAGAACCATCACTAAAAAAAACAGGAGCGCTCTGACTTTAAAGAGACACGTGGACAAAAACATTACCTGCTGACCGAATCCTGCCACGGCCCCAGTATCACGGTTCTCCTGCTGCTCGTACAAGTGGGCCAAGGCATCCTGAAGAGACACAGCAGATGGGCATCAGACCACATCACCTCACACAGCCTACTAATGTGCAGAGCTGCAGGTTATCAGTGTCTCTAGAATACATGCAGGAAGTAGTGAAACTAAGAGTTACCTGGTGTGCAGAAGGATATTCAGGGCTGTAGGAATTCTGAAACCGCATGTTATAGTTGGGCTGCAGGTGCTGATGCGTGTACTGGTTGGACACGTTACTTAGTGTAGGTCTTTTCCTATAGGTGGGAGGTCTGCAGCTAGCTCCTGGAGCAGAAGGACAGCAGATATTTTTGGCTGAGTTCATGCAGCAAAAAAAAATATATATATATATACCTGCATCATTTATTAAAGAGCAAGTCACCCCCAAATAAACTTTTTTTTTTGCTGATAAACTAAATAAATGAGTGTCTAATTGTGCAGCAGACACGTGTCGTCAATAATTTGGCACTTCAGTGCATCTTAGTTAAAATTTAAATATTCTGCTTAAAACTGGCGATGTTGTGCCGTTGTCAGGTAAAAACTCTGCACTGTATTCTAATTTAAATCAGCCACCGCTATTGGCTAAGAGGTATGCTATGATGTAAACTGGTACATTATGATGTCACAATGCGGTCGTGAGCCTGTGTGTGTGTTTGTTAGCAGCTCCGCCCTCTCGGTCTGCCAGGCAACAGCATTTGTTGCATTTTTCAATCATGAAGTGGGAGTGGAGTTAGACTCTGGTAGGGGGTGACTTGCTCTTTAATAACAAAACCCACCTGAAGGAAAAACATTGTTGACATTGAGGAAGGTGCTCTGGGGAAGATTCACATCTTTTGGAGAATCACTCAGCATCGGTACCTGATGTTGAAGGGAAAGAAAAACAGGTTACGCCTTTGATTCTGTCTGTGGGGTTACACGAGCACGAAAAGTCCAAGTGGCTGAAACCGCTTCTGGAAATGACGAGTAAACACACCCCCTGTGCTGCAAGGCCATCTGTCCCCATCATGCCTCCCATCAGGGGTAAGGAAATGCCTGGTAGGGTGGGAGGGGAGGTCTGCGAGAAGCTGCACGCTGATGTGGGGGAATCCTGTTCTCTTGGCACGGCTCTGCCGAGCGGCACCGACTTCAGGGGGGCCAGTGGGTCCGACTGCAGACCCAGTCCTGAGACTACATTTAGAAAAACAAGACGGTGAAATTCAGTCAGTGCAATTAACTCCACTTATTTGGCTCTCAATGAAAATATTTTAAACTCATCAGTATTCTAAGAGCACAGAATCCATTAGCTCTAATCTGGCTGTGCGAGTGAAAACCCTTAGCCAGTGTGGGGAGTGCAGAGCCTGACTAACAGGGAAAAGGGGGGGCAGATGTTTGTAATCACAAGCACAAATATGTCATTAGTAGCTCAAGGAGACACGGCTGGAGCTGAAGGATGCCTAACCTTGAGGGAGATCACCAAGCAGATGGACTCCCTGCTGGACAGGCAGAGCAGCCAGAGGACTGTCCCCGATGAGTCCTGCCTGTGGGTGGAAGGACACGCCAGAGTCACACGAGGGTCGCTCGGCCTGGGTGAGACACTCCAGCAGTTAAGGTCCAGAGATGCACAAACACTCTGGCAGTTTACTCACCAAATATCAGATTATTTATATTTAAGCACACCTTCTACTGCAGCACGCGCAAGACACACCTGACAATAAAAACCTCACTTTTCCAGGGACAGCTTACCATCACAGGGAAAAGTGGTGTTCGTTTCACTGCTCACAAAGTACTGGACTCCCCCCCCCACACACACACACACACGAAGCCAAACTCCATTATCACTCACACAAGGGAGAAAGGGGTTTTCTTTACTGTGCAGCACCTGAGCCCAAAGAAGAGGATTCCCCAGAAAAGCTTGCTAATGGCATGGAGGGATAGAACAGAGACGGGTGAGGGAAAAAAGGCCAGGATGAATAAAACATTTTTTTTAAATGGCAGAAGAAGCAGTGGGGGGGGGACAGAGGCCAAAAGGTTTCGGTACCTGCTGGGCCTTGGCCTGGTTCTGAAGCAGGAGCTGCAGCAGGGCAGCAGAGAGAGCGGGGTTGGTCAGCAGCGGCATGGCAGGGGCTGCCCCGAGAAGGCCTGTACACAAACATCATCATGACCTAAAAGCACCAGAGCAAATCCTTCAATAAAATCAATAAGAGAAAGGTGGCTGAGGGCTCTCTACCTTGTTTGTGTGCCTGAGACAGAGGGGTGAGCAGCATCTTAAGAGCAGCAGGGTTATTAAGGCCTGTGAGGATCTGCAGGGCTGTGGGATCAGGGAGGAGGCCTTTGCCTCTGTTTAGACACTAGGAGAGGATTAAAAACCAGAGAATGCATCAGTGGCAGCTGTGAACGTACTTGAATAAAAAAGTATTGATTTAAGTTTAATACCATGGTTTGTGCAGCAATCAGAGCAGCCAGCATGCTTCTTCCAGGGGGGCCGGGGGCACAGAAGGCCACCCTGATGTGTGTCCCGCCCAGTAGCCTGCCATCTGAGAGTCTCTGGGCCTCCTCAGCCATCTCTGCAGAGGCAAACTCCAACACAGCAAAACGACAAAAACTTCCATCTTGTCCCTGAGCCAGCTGTGGAAGGGAGGGATGAAAACCGTCATTAGGACACCACAGGCAGCCAAAGCATGCTGGGAAACAAAAGGAATGCCAACCATGAACTCGGACATTTGCCGTTTGTACACATTTTGGTGTAATTTGTCACGCAAATGCACTCCAGAAATCACTAACATGCATCAAAAATAAAGCTTAAACTAATACCTTATTTTGACATAAAAAAATTCTTTATTTCCTTTTTATATTCATTTTATTTCAAATTTTTAAGGGTTAAAACAAATCAAAGGATGTTTTCTCACTCAGCCTTTTGATGTAGCCTGGAGCCTAAATTATCTGGTCATCTGTAACAAATCTGAATAAAAAACTCCCTCTGTCTGCTGTGCTAGACGGATGCCCCCTCGCTCTCATTCCAGAAAAGCCTGCTGAATGACACCACCTGGGGGAGTCAGGTGGTCATCACCATAGAAACCATGCTATTGCTATAGAAACTTTGAGTGGCCACATAAAAACCAGGGCAAAGGTGAGAGGTGCTGAAAAGATCACACATGAATAAAAACTTTACAAAAACCCTTAGATGGAGTTAATAACACCTTCAGGGGTGTCTGATCCTAACCTACTCATCTCCATGCCTTTATTTGGGCATCATGTTACATAAGTCAACATTAGCTGAACAGAAAAACAGTCAAAGATGAGACTAACAGTTAAGAATGCTAAATGTTGTTAATATTATTCAGAAATCATCACTTTGACAAGTTTTAGTTTGCTAACAACTGACCTGGCAGAAGACTGGCGTATGGGAGTCAGCCAGGGCAGCGAGGAGGTCCTGGGCTGTCAGGAGGCTCGGGGGCAGGAGGTCCACACACAGGCATCTGGAGTGCAGCAGCGGGTAGGTGAGCGAGCCCACTTCGGTCCAGTGAACGTACAGCATGCGGGAGCCCAGCTGCTTCCCCAGAAGCTCTGACTTGGCCCTGGCCGCCGAGTCCTTCTTCATGTACTCCACAAAGCCGTAGCCTTTCGAATGTCCCGTAGTGGCACTGTAAACCAGGAAGCAGCGCTCTAAATTGCCAAACGGTCGCACCAATTCCTCAAACTGCTGCTGGGTAAAAACTGGGGGCAGGTTGGCGATACACAGAAGAGCGTCAGTGGGCTGCAGCTGCACAGAGATCTCCCTATCCCGTAGCACATACTGGTGGAACTCCTCGATGGCACACTGGGCCTGTTCCCCGTTCAGAAGTGTTACAAATGCTGAGAAGGATGGAAAAGAAGAGGTACAGAAAAGTGAAATGCAAAATAATGTGAAAACTGAGGGAGTGAAATGTGTTCAAACAGATTTAAAAGAACAATCATCTTTCAAACACAACAGGTGTTAAAAGAAAAGCCTGCTGTTGTTGACACGGGTTCCCCTTAAGCATGTCTGATAGAAGACGATGCTGATGGCACAATGTCGGCAAACAACATTTTAAGCATCTTTTCTGCTCGTGCAGCATCACCCAGACAGAAACCACAGCAGTTGTCATAGTGACAGACAAGAATCTAAGACATTTTAACTATCCAATTGTCCCATAATGAAAAAAGCCACAACTAGACCTGGACACGTTTTTGTGTTATTGCCTTCCATTATACAGCTCTGTGACAGACTCTAGATACTGTGATAAAAACACATGCTGTCATGTTTTTTCATGCCACAACAGCTTGGTAGAAACCAGGCAGAGCCCTGAATTTACCATCTGGTTCATGCTTTTTTTTATTGGCTCGTTACCGTCTGCCACATTCTAGAGAAGTATTGCTCTGTGAATGCGAAAAGCAATTTAAAATGCCCATTCTGAGCTCATGTTTCTTTTATCAAGTCTCTCACTGAATGTGGATGCAGCTCACGAGGACACGACTAGAACAGACGCACTTAAATCCATCACCGATGAATGGGACATTGTGACAGGAAAGCTTCCTACTAGTCAAAGAGTGCATAACTGTCAATGGCAAACCAATCATAAAGATCTGGAACACTTTTACCACCTAAATAGTCTTTTCTAAAAGGTTTATATGAAATTTAGAAAATGTTGTCATCAATGAAATTATTTTTTGTATATTAAGAAAATTCTGGAATCCTGTCTTTTTTTCTATGATCACAGCTATTAGGTGGATCAATAGTAATTTGTTTAAAAATGAACAAAATCTACATACATGGAAGTCAGACCCACCTGTGCCCTTATATTTGTCAACAAAGCAATACTTCAGATCATAGCTTCCCAACAGCTCGTGGACCTCCTGTAAACAAAAAAGAGACATAATAGAAAAAACTGAACATTACAACACATCTCAAGAATCACACATTGAGTTATTCCATCTGTTAATTATGTTAATTGCAGATTATTTTAATGACACCATTAACCCATTCATGTCCAATGGGAAGAGACAGGTGCACTCATTTGGGAGGGGGCTGAAAAACTCCCTCATTGTTGCAGGAGAAACTGTTATGCGCTGCTTTGGACTTTTCACATACAAATAGTGATGCTCTCTAGCATTTTCTGAAACGTTTTGTCTCTACGCCTTCCACCTTTTGTTATCCGGAAACTCACATCTCGAACTCCCTCTATACCCCCATCTGGGAACAATGGTACGGCCCGCAGGCCCACCGCTCCCACGAGTCAGGCCCGATTCTAAAGAATGACACACCTAAATCAGAGAATTAACCCTGAAGCCTGTCGTGATAGTAGCTGTTGCACCTGTACAACTCCCAGGGGAAAAACATTTACTGAGCCGAATAAAAAATAAATAAATAAAAACTTCAGAGTTGCCAAAGTTGTACGGAGTTGGTCATACAGGCCACAGATGACCATATTGACCTGACAATCATTCGATCAGCTGACACTCAACCCGCAGGTCACGTTTGTTAACTAAAGTAGACAATGATGACAATAATAATAATAAAGTTAGAGTTTCATTTGAACTGTATATTGATGTATATCAGTTAAAGAAAACTTCACATAAATAAAAGTTTTGGCAGCCTACGTTAAGTGGCTAGCAGGCTAACACGTCCGAGCTAGGCTACCATTAGCCCAAATTCTCATCAACCCATCACCCCCCAGCAAAGCCTCAACATTAATAGTTTAAACCGTATACCTGATTACTGACGTCGGAGGGGAGATTCTTTATTATTATTTTTCTACGATTGTAGAACTCCCGACGCATTCTCTCCAAGCGGCTCTCAATCTCTTTGGGGCTCAGTGATATCAGGTCCTCATCGACCCTTCGCTGACACTCGCGTCCCGGTGTGGCGTCCTCTGCTCCGGGAGAAAGTTCTGAGAAACGGCGGTCCCCCCCGGCCATCCAGTTCTCTTGTTCCGCAGCGAGGTCGTAGTTTCCATTAAGTGGCCGTGGGGCAGAACTGGGCCCGGTGTCTGTGCTTTCATCTTTGACAGAGTTACTAACAGACACGGCGGCCGCCATCGCTCAGTTTGGTGGAAGTTGAATCGGTCTGGAAGTGAGTCTGATTTGAGCAGTTTAAACAATACACACATGGACCCTGCGCCGCTTCTCATTGGACGAGAGGAGAACGCAATCTCCATGACTACGACGCAACGTAGGGTAGAGGCGTGGCCACCAACAATGCCCGTTTGCAGTGTGTGTGTGTGTGTGTGTGTGTGTGTGTGTGTGTGTGTGTGTGTGTGTGTGTGTGTGTGTGTGTGTGTGTGTGTGTGTGTGTGTGTGTGTGTGTGTGTGTGTGTGTGTGTGTGTGTGTGTTATTGCTGCATCAAATCATATTTTCTAGACAAATCTAACAAAAAAACTATTAATAAATGTAGTTCTTGCATTTCTGAAAATGCTCATAAAATCATTTTTAATTCAATTCTAGAAAGAAAGAAAGAAAGAAAGAAAGAAAGAAAGAAAGAAAGAAAGAAAACAATCTTTTTATAGCGCCTCAAAATAAAAATCACGAAGCGCTTCACATAAACAAAAAATTTAAAATGTAAAAAAGATGTTAAAAATAATTTTAAACAAGTTAAAAAAGACAAAAAATATAAATTTGTGAAATTAAAAATGTAAGGAAAGGAAGAAAGAAAATGAATAATAAGTATGCAGCCAAAAATGTCTTCAAAGATTCTGCAAATACTGGCAAAGAAATCTGTCCTAATACCCAAGTTTCAGGTATAATTTATGACTATCCCCGGAAAGTCTTCAAACAAGATGACATCTTTTTCAAATTAATATTTAAAATCACATACATTTATATATCAAAGATACTTTATTTATATATATGTAATGAACTTTTTTCAACTTTAGTCAGTAAAGTGAAATAATGTGAAGGGGGTGAATGTTTTATCTATGTATAATATCCTTGCCTCCAGGGGGCATTAGAGACCAGGTAAAGCTCAGAAAGGCTACAGTTATGTTCAAAAATCATCTAAAATAAATAAATAAATAAATAAATATTCAAAAATCAGCACTTGGAGGAGCAAGAGATTCACATATTGTTCAGGCTGCCATAATCTGGTTATTATGGTTCACATGGCAGGCTTCCTGGTGCTTTTCTTCACACGAGAGGTGAGAGGTTGTAGCAGCTGACCAAATCACATTTGTACCAGCTGGATACACTCATTAATTTAATTCATCACACAATATCACCACGTGGTTTATTATGGTTTATTAAACTTTGATTTGTCTACAGCTTTAAAAAATGGCATGCAGAGTAATATGTACAAAAAAGTACACAAATAAGCAAAATAGGCAAACACAACCCTTTCCAAAGGATTTTTTTTTTTGCTTCCCATGATACAAAATATGTGTTTTATTTAAAAATTGCTCTTAATGGCTTATCAGTTTGAGCTCAACATTTGGTACCATTCAGCTAGAGGCAAACACAATTAAACAAACAGAAAACCTACCCCATACACATAGGAAGTCAGTTTATTTCTGGTATTTTATTATCATTATAAATGAGAGCCTCACAGGTGTGCTTTCATGATCAAACACAGAGCAAGGAAACCTGTAAATATTGGAGCTAAATAAACTGTACACTTACAATCAGATTACTGGCTACTCTGTGATACATGGTCACCAACAGCCCAACTGGTACACAGCTGGAACCTCACTGATCCCAGATCAGCAAATCTGAGACATGGGGAAGTTGGGGTTGAACTGCCAGTCGTACATTCGTCGTAGGGCGTCAAACTTGTCCACGAGGGTTCTGAATGATGGCCGGTTTTCAGCATTTTTATTCCAACACTGCTCCATCAACAACCTCGCCTGTGGGAAACGAACACAGGAAAACATTTAGCCACATAACCTTTCACCTGCTCTAAGAGAGACACACAGGGGTTTTCAGTGTTCTGTGATTGATGGCATCCCTCTGCACGAGCTAAACTTCTACTTTTATATCTCTTTAGGACATGAATCAGACTTATTTTGTCTCTGTAATTATTTTTCACAGCCAGGAGATATAAAGTCTAATAATTTGCCCTTGAATACAACATATATAGAAACCAAAATGGCTAAATTATTTAGCAAAAACAATTGCCCCAAAAAGCAATGTCCTAAATGTTTTATATATATATATATAATTATATATATATATATATATATATATATATATATATATATATATATATATATATATATAATTATATATATATATATATATATAATTATATACATATATATATAATTATATACATATATATATAATTATATATATATATATATATATATATATAATTATATATATATATATATATATATATAATTATATATATATATATATATATATATATATATATATATATATATATATATAATTATATATATATATATATATATATATATATATATATATATATAATTATATATATATATATATATATATATAATTATATATATATATATATATATATATATATATATATATATATATATATATATATATATATATATAAACAGAAATATCGACCAACAGTGAAGATTAGGTTTACCCTTGACTCGAGACAAATTATTAACATATAAACATGTCTGAATCATAGGAGATGGAGTTATCTGAGAATAAAACAGTTTTAGCATGTTAAGCCGGGCGTACACTGTGCGACTTTTTCACTTTTTTGAGCCGATTTTCCAGTCGTGCGAGAATCCACGAGGTCGGGGCGAGTTTTGCGCCGAGCGTCGTGTAGTGTACAGGGGGTTACGAGAGGCGATTAACACCACGTGACCAGCTGCCGATCAGCAATCGTGAGCTCGCACGGACTTCTGGCGTGTTTAAAATTTCGCTCGTCCCTCGTGAGGGTATCGCACTGTTGAAGCGGCGCAGCGAGCAGCTGCGACCCAAAAAGTACCAGAACTGCTCACGGCGCATGCGCAATCCTGCATCAACGCCACTCGCCCGCTATTTCCCTAATAACACACGTTGTTCGTTTTTGTTTCTACACGTTTTTTTACTCACAAAGATTATCAAGAAAGCGTGTTTGTCGTGTTCATGTCAAATTAAACTGATCACTAAACACAGATTCACTTTCTTTATTTCGTTTTCCTCATCCAACCCTCATAAATCCCTGTGTGTCCTCCTGCAGCACTCCCGAAGGACAACAGGCAAGACAAGACAAAAAAGTCTGGCGTGTTGAGTAAAAACTGCTATTTTTAGCATATTTTTAGGTCCGACGAGTTGCTACCAGACGTACAGTGTGAGCAGTCAGATCACATCCGAGAACTGGGTCGTGCAGTGTGAGCACATGACTCGTGAGATCTGCCCTGCGAGGAAGTCGTACAGTTTGAGCTGAAGCTGAGTGCTGCGAGTGAAAAAGTCGCACAGTGTCGGCCCGGCTTTAGTCTGAGCTCAGCTTGCTGCATCCACTACTGGAAACTTACAGCTTAAATCCTAAAGCTAAAGGCTGAATTGAATTGTCTGAATAGAATCTTCTCCAACATGACATACAACAAAAGCAAACTATATAGAGGAGGGTTTTGAAATCTCACTGAAATTATGCAAAATATTAAATGTTTTTAAACTTGCAACACAAATAATGGTCCCTGTAAAACACTAAACCTGTCTCCGTGTGGACATTTCCTGTTTTAATTTTATCTGTAAAATAAACTTTTCACAAACTAATAAAAACTAATTACAGTATGTCTCTCTGACATGATAAACTGGCTTCCTATTGAGTGAATATGTTTTAGTGTTCTCTTCTGGAGGCGGGTGTTGTTGTACGTATCTAATGTTACCTCGTGGGGGCAGTCTCTGGGACAGGGTAACCTCCGATTCCTCTCCAGCAGCTCTATGATCTTCACCAGAGTCATCGATCCTTCAGTTAGCCCCATCATCTCAAAGAACTTCTGCAAAAACACAAGAAGAAGAAAAAAAGTGAGCTTCTCACAACAGAAAACAGTGTATTTGTTAGCTTGTGATGAGATCATTAAAACCTACAGTTGGGGGGCTCTGGCGGCTGTCGCAGTGGGTGAAGATCTCATACAGAGTAACTCCAAAGGACCAAACGTCAGAAGCAAAAGAGAATTTCATCTCCTTCAAGCACTCAATGGCGTACCTGGAAAGTGCAAAACACATCATTTCTACCAGAATAGACACACAAGAATAATAACTATCTTAGATATGGTCCTGAACTGACCAGTACACCGGGCTGTCTCCAGTCTCCCGAACACGGTAGTAGATCTCTCCTTCAGGGATGTATTTTGTCAGACCGAAGTCTCCGATCTTTACCAAACCCTTGTTTTCCACTAAGACATTGCGGGCTGCCAGATCTCGATGCACATAGCGCTGTGAGTGGAGGTAGTCCATTCCCTTTTAAAGAGGATCATAAAACTCATGTAGGTCATTTCCTAATAGGTAAAAGATGTGGTTCACTTGTTTAATCAGCAGTGGTCTCTGGTAGGACCGAATGCCTTGTAAGTCGTACTCGGGGATGGATATATCGGTGCACCGTTTCCAGGAACTAGCAGTGACCCACATCACAGCTGAGCTTATTTCCTGACATTTGGACTTAACAGCAACACAACACCACCACTGATTTGTAGCATGGATGTTTTATCTCCACAAATGACACAAGCCTGAAGGAGTTCTGCTGTGTGTGGTGGAGTTGTTAATGCTAACGGTTAGTTTCCTGGACACTAAATCAACAACAGGCTTCCCCGTCGTGAGTCTAGATGGGTGAGTTCCTGCACGTTCAGTGACAGCGCGACGTCAATCTGTCAGGCTTTTCACATCCTAGACATTCACCTTCTATTTTCTATCAGAAGCTAATGCAGGAGGTGGATGTAGGAGACTTATTTTCATGTTCAGCCTGCATGAAAAACTCAAGAGTGCCTGATTATAATCAGAGATAATCATTAAACATGTTTTTTTCAGTTAACCACACCTTCAGATATGTGCATAGCTAGAATCCAAAACAAAACAGAAATGTTGCAACCTGCTTGAACATTCATGTGGTTTATGTTCTTACTGGATTAGTAATTATAAACCCGCACAGCCAGGCGGGGAGTTCGTCTGCCTTTTGCAGCTCCCGCAAAACATCCCATAAAACATTAAGGTGGAGATGAACCGGCAGATCAAGTTAGAAGAGCCGCTTTAATCGTGCCAGAATCTCGACCGCAGTCACACTCTCACTCTCGTAACTCACGCTGCGTAGCTACAGCCTCAGTGAGAGGTTTTAAACGCTAACATCTTCTGGATTCCTGGGAAACATCTGTACCACGACATTACAGCTGTTTAACTCAGACTGTATGAACAAAATACACCAGAGGCTTTAATGTTAATGTGTTGGCTTGTTTGTGGATAATCTCATGCTGTGCTAAAATGAATTGAAAGCCACAACTTCTCCTGAATAATGTCACAAATCTGCAATGAACTAGTTTGTTTTTTTCTGCAAATCCATAAGAGCGTTCCTACAGAACTACAGCTGCGAGCTCAAGCACCGTCCAACAACCACCTGAACTCACCTGACAGATCTGCTGAGCAAACATGAGGCACTGGGGCACACCGATTTTATTTTTAGGAAGAAACTCTCGCAGACTCCCCAGGGGAAGGTACTCCATGATCAGCTGTACTTCCAGTCTCCCTGTCGGGGCAAAATGTAGCCGTGTTTCATCTTGCTGTTTCGTTATTTTAAAAATGATGACCCGTTGCTGAAACCGGAGCTCAGCAGACTCAAAGTGGTGGCACTCAATGAGAATCGCAGAGAAGCAAAAGGGATAAAATCCTAATGAATGATTAATTCAATGTACGATGCCAGTAAACACGAGTTAGAGCAGACACAGGCGACCTCTGAGAACCCACCTGGCTCAGTGCAGCAGCCCTTGTACCTGACGATGTTACTGTGGTAGAGGGATTTTAGGATTTCTATCTCTTTCTTCCAGACATCAGGGACATCACTGTTCTCCTGCTTCAAGGCTTTCACCGCCACAAGCTCTCCGGTCCCGTCGTTGGATGGGTCATACATGTAGAGCGTCACCTTCCCAAAGTGTCCCTGCAGACAGAACACTCCGAGGGATAACTCTCAAAACACACGGGAGGAGAGAGGCACACAAGCGCCGCTTCATCTCACCTCTCCCAAATCCCGCATCTTTTTCAGGTAGCGTTTCTGGAACATGGTGGGGTCTGCCGGTGCGAGGGTTCCACTGGGGGATATATCGGGATCTGTGTGAGAAGTGTCACGTCTGTCAAACACCAGCACTAAAACACGAGTTTAAAAAAATCCACGAGAAAGGCGTGTAAAACTGACTTTTCATCATGATTTCTGTGAGATCTCGGAGGATGGTGCGAAATGAGGGTCGTGCATCAGGCTCGTATGTCAAACACATGCTGATGAACTTGGCCAGCTCCTGGGAGGAAGGCTCAGCGAGCCGACCCTTTTGCTGATAGAAACACTCTTTCTGTTGGGGTGACAACGGTAGCCATCTTAGAAAAGCTTTTGGCTGCGGAATGAACAACGCAGCTTAAAGCTGATGCATGAGCGAACCTCAGACAACGTGCAGCTGCTCATGGGCAGATCGCCATTGTTGCAGATTTCAAGCAGCGTGACACCAAAGCTCCACTGGTCAGCGGCGTTCCCAATAGGCGCATCGCTATCAACGCACTCTGGAGCGATCCACGGAATTCGATCCAAACGCTCTGCAAAGTGAGAGGACCTTCATGACGACGACTCTGGGCTTTCCAACAAAAGTCTTGTGAAGGGCAACCACGTTTGGTCTGCGGCCCCACTCAGTAAAGCCACAGCTGGGATTCAAACCTGCAACAGCGCTACCAACTGCACCACCGTGCAGCCCCAAACTTGATATTGAGGAGTAAAACTGCCCGACAACAGGAAATAGGTCACAGGAAGTGGTGTAGTAAAACCTTCCTGTTTCCCAACTCTAGTAGGGCTGAAATAAACTTCAAAGCACAGATCATCTCAAGCTGATTACGCTTCTTTCTGAGCAGTCAAGTCAGCTGAGACTTTATTTACTCTGATCTGTGTGTGTGTACCTTCTCTAGAGAGGACATTCAAGGCAATTCCTGGATCACTCAGCTTGACAAAGGGTGAAGTGTTGGGTTTCAGCCCTGACCGGGCCACCAGAATGTTCTTGGCACAGACGTTCCCGTGAACCAGGCGCTTTGCCTCCTGGAATGATACAAATGACACAAAAGTGGACTCAGAGATGCAGAGGGGAGACGTTTTTGCACAACACCAGACTGTTGCTGCCTGATACGTGAACTATGGGCAATGTACAACCAAACCCATAAAGAGCAGTTTTTAAGGGCTTAGCCTTAGATTTCTTTTTACTCTTATTTTTGACTAATAAAGCCAATTTACACAAAGATGGAAATGTGTTTTAAATGCCACTGGTTGGAAAAAAAAATGATCTGAATGATCTCTAATCTTAATATTGCATAAAAGAAAAAAAAACACACACAAGCAGTTTTTATCTTTAACTTGGTTCCGTAAAAAAAAAAAGTGCAATTTCCTGCCAAAGCGCAGCTGCTGAGGCTGAAAACTTGGTGAAAGATCCACAGTTTAGAACACTCACAAGATAACTGAGGGCACTGGCGAGTTGTATGGCAACGACAAACTTCCACTGAGCATTTATGAATGTCCTTTCTTTACGAAGGAAGACATCTAGAGGCCCATCCTCCACATACTCCTCCACCATGATGTCTGTGAAAACAGGAACACGTCTGACAGGCTCACCTTTTAATTAGGCCATAAAACTTGTAAACAGACGTTTGAATTTTTAAAATAGAACCGGCTCAGAAGAGATTTGCATTTGCGTCGTGGTCCGCTTGTCATTTGAATCACAGATTTGACTACGGACGCTGAACTTATGCGTGATAAGGAAGCAGCAAATGAGGAAGTCACTAAAAGAAGAATTGAGCGTGTGCGGTTGGCTGTTGCACTCACTTTCGGATCCTTTGACAGACACACCGTGTACAAACACCAGGTGACTGTGGGATACCTGGCTCATGAGACTCGCCGTTTCGAAAAATGCCTTAGACAGAGAAAAGAGTAACGAAAGACTGTAAATCAAACACAGGCTGTTGCTGCGTTGCAGTAAAGAAAGAAGAAGAACACAGCTAACCAGAGCAATGTCTTTATGGCTTTCCTCCAGAATCTTCAGAACCACGTGGATGCCTTTACGCCTTTCCATGTTGTTATTGAACTCGATATCATCGTCGTCGTCCTCCGACACCAGCAAGTGTCCCAAGTAAATGTTAGTCCTGGTGCCACGCCCCAAGTGCTCTTTCTGATTATGAACACACACCCAATCAATCACAGAGCAGAAAGCAGCAAGCTCGTAACAATTCAAACAGAGCCAGTGGACGTAATCACCGGGATGATCATTTTGTCTTTGATCTGGTGGAAGCGTAGCTGCGTGAGGTCCAGGGGCAAGCGTGAGTGGGTGCGGTGTTCGTTACCCTGTCTCTTCACCAGGAGGTTGGATATTTCTAAACGTAAGCAAAAAACACGTCAGTTACACTATAAAAAAAAAGTGTTGAATTCACGAAACAAATGATGTCAACTGGTTCAACTGGACCTCGTTGCTTAAACGTAAAGTGTGATGTATGTGTAGTACGGCTGGGCAATGAACCCAAAATTTAGGGTTATCGAAATTTCTGACTCTCATCGGGATCATTTTTCCCACGTCAATAAATCTGATAATAAAAAAAATGGAAAGATGCGTGTAGGTTGGTAACGTTCACGTCCCTTTAAGAAGCTGTACCACCTTTAGTCACATGACTCAAGTAATACATGTGACAGCCCCATCTAGTGGACAACTTTCGTTTCCGCGCATACCTGTAGTTATCTTCCATTTATCGCTATTGGGGTGAAATCCTCAATATATCGTGATATTAATTTTAGGCCATATCGCCCATCCCTACTGTATATTTACATTTAAACAGCTAGATTTGGTGGAACCAGAGGACATCACTTGGTTAAGTAAATTCAACATTTCCAGACCTCCCTGAGCAGAGGTGACCTGATGCGACACAACACTGAACCTGTCCCAGACAACAGCACGAACCTCCTTGCTTTGGCAAACAGCACTTTCTGACAGAGAAGCTGTCGGGCCCAGACTTAAGCACAAAGGTTTTGAGGCAATCTGTGAGCTCCTTGACGCTGGGGAACTCTTGGTCCCAGCCGTCCATAGAGAAGACCGAGCCCTTTTGCTGGATACGAAACTGCTTGTGGTTTGGTGCAGAGCCGTTCTACGCATAAACAGGTTTAAATTTAGCGAAGAGCTCCAACCGCTGCAATAATTCCCAGAGAGGAGCGTGTGGGTGTCGACTTACTTCGTTTTTGTTTAGCACAGCGAGGATGACGCGGTGGTAGTCGAGGGCACTCCATCGAACGAGGAACGTTCCCTCCTCTGCTGCCTCCTTTTTCAGCTTGTGCAGCACAAAGTCATCACTGCAAGCACACCAGGGTGATGATGTAACGGCACGTTTGCGGGCTGTTTGTGTCTGAATGTGCCCGACTAAGGGCAGAAAACTCACTGCATAGGTCCGTGAAGCAGATTCGCCTCACTCAGCACGACCCTGGGGGGCGCCACTTCACGACAAAGGTAGTGGTGGGCGTCGGCAGTCAGTCGGTAGTATCCGTCCAGAAGGGAGATAAGGGAGCGAGCCTCCTGGTTGGAGTTCATCTGCACCTCCTACATAAAGCATAAAACGCCACAAGCTTACGATCTGAGTGCCCACCTGCTTGCACATACATTTAACATTTAACAGAAGCGCCTTCAGCACAAACAAAACCCAAAGCTCTTAGGCACACACTGAAATAAAAATTCATAAAATCACACATATAAAGCCTGCAGTGAAGTCAAACTTCTAAAAGCCTGTCTAACATGGTCCGCTGAGGGACTAAAATACACTCTATCAATGCGACCGATGCGTCAAAACCATGTTTGCCAATTAAATCAACGCATCTCAGCTTGTACGCCGGAAGATAAACAAGTGCTCTCACCATGCAGTGATTGTCCTGAGTGCTAATGCACACATTAGCATCGGTAATGGCTATGTGAGTTATTTCAGGGAAATCACAGAAGCGGGTCCAATCATCAGTAGCATTCTCGTTCGGTTGGCTGGACTGATGCTTGGATTTCTTTGCGTAGTTCAGGTAATTGTCCCTGAAGTAAGGGTTCGACTGAGCCTAAATAGAGAGGATGAGCGAATGAGACGTCTGCACCACGGGAGATGAAGTCAGCCAGAATCAGAAGGTAAAGCAGTGCTTTGACTGACCTTCTGAATGTGAATCTTTCTCCACTGAATCCCTTTAGTGCCAGACACCATTACTTCACACGTGGCAGGACGCGCGTCGCTATGTTTCGAGGCCTCCTCACCGTGGCTCGCGTTGGAGTAGGAGCTGCCCCCATCCCCATCCTCCCTGAGCTCCAGGCGAGTTACAGGAAAAGTCTCTGTGCCAAAACGCGGAGCCAAGTTTTCAAGGGTAGAGATGTACTTGTACATGATCTCCTGTGGACCCAGTTGACCCCTGTCCACAGTGTGCTGCTGAAAAGTCCTCACAAACTCAGAAAACACCCGACGGATCCTGATTTTAGTCAGAAAGTTGTCTCTGGATAAGTGTTTGGCAAAAGATCTTGGAATGCAGTTTAGGAAGCTGGGAAGGGACATCCACGGAAGGAGAGAGAAAACAACAACGGAACAATAACAAAAACCATTTGAAACAGATATAATTTTGCCTTTTTGTTTTTCAAATATACATTTTCCATAAAGACAAACTGGGGGGAAAAGTGTGAACAAAGACCTGATTTTTCCGGCCACTTCTTGTAACGTGGATTTGTTTTGTATCGCATGGTGTGAGAGGTGAAGAACAGCCATTCCCAAGCTCTCGTTTTTGAACCGACTCAGCTCCTCCTCAGACTCGATGTCTTCCATTTGCACCACTTCATTCACAAACTCGTGTTTAGACTGGTTTCAAGGCACAAGATGCGGAGAGGTCACACCACTACGCTGTTGCTGACAGTCTAGAACATAACACATCATGTCAAACACCAACCTGAGCAAATAAATACTCCAAGGACTTGACATCAAGCAGAGGGGATCCAGCCTCATCTGCTCCAGACTTGAGAGCATATCTGAACACAGAAGGCTCCTTCTCATTTAGTCCATGCCAGTTCCGAAAGTAAAACCTAAGCAGGAGACAAACAGCTGACTCCCTGTTCCAGACGTCCCCCCATACCGAGTTGGGCAAACACAAACCTCATACAGTAGTGAAGGACTAGACTGGAGTTCTCCTCTGGAGTGAAAACCTGGTTTGGACTGTACCAACACTGGGTCTGTGGGTTATACAGCGCAAACAGCACATGGCAGAGGGGTGTTATCCCTGTGGGAGAAACACTGGAGTTACACACACGCTTCCACCAAGACAACCTCAGCTGATGCCAGGGGGAGTCGCCCTCACCCACAGCTTTAGCAGATAAGATGCACAGCTCTTCAGCGGTGACATCCCCACTGGTGTGAGACAAGTACTTCTCCCCGTCTTCAGAGGAGAACAGGTAAACATGGATGCCCTGGGACTGGGTGGGCCCGTTTGAAGCTGGAAAGGTCCCCGTCCTGAAAAACCTGGACCACCCCTTTCCAGACATGATGGATGAGATCGCTGTTTGGCAGACAGAGGAATCAGATCAGGTGTTGGGAAACCCTGAGGAGTCACGCAGAGTCGGACTCAGGAAGCGCACGTTCAGGAAGGAAGCGCGCTCTCTTCGGGGATGTCATACATTCCGATTTAAAAAAAAACATTTTAAATCTAAATGACAAAATCAAAATAAACGCGTAAATGTCTTAAACACACGTGACGTCAGACTACAGGATCAGGTTGTCTGAAGCCCTTCCGGGGATTAAAACTTAGCAAGCTTGTTTACCTTTAGCTTTAGTTTCAAGAGCGCAACACAAAGCCTGTTCTTTTATTCAGTACGCATGTATAACGCACGGGGAGAGCCTGGGTCACAACAAGGAAATACACGTTTTATAAACATGAGAAGGACGGAAGGAGCGGCCGCGGAGCGCGAGTCTTACCCCGAACGACGAGTTTGAAGGCTTTCCTTTACAAACTCAGAGAAGTGAGAAGAGGCTCGACCATCATTATTTACAGCACGGACTTCCCCTTCTCCACCTACTCTGGTGGGTTCTTCTGACCAACAGAGCTGCGACTAAAAACGCTGCTTCCCGAAACTAACAAGGCCACGCCCTCCTCTGACCTGCGGGGGCGGGCGCGTGCGCCTCACTTCAAAATAAAATACAAATAAATGAGGATAAATTATATAATTACTCTGTAATGACACAGGGCCAGATTATTTCATAGTCGGACCTTCATTACTGGGATGATGTGTGAAATGCACAAATAAAGAACTATTATTATTATTATTATTATTATTATTATTATTATTATTATTATTATTATCGTCAATATAATCATCATCATTATTATTAGTAGTAGTAGTAGTAGTAGTAGTAGTATTATTATAATAATCATCATCATTATTATTATTGTTGTTATTATTATTATTACTATTATTATTATTATTATTATTATTATTATTATTATTATTATTATTATTATTATCGTCAATATAATCATCATCATTATTATTATTATTAGTAGTAGTAGTAGTAGTAGTATTATTATAATAATCATCATCATTATTATTATTGTTGTTATTATTATTATTACTATTATTATTATTATTATTGATATTATTATCATTATTATTATTGTTGTTGTTGTTGTTGGATTAGGGTTAGAAACTAACAAACTTATAGAAGAAGCGTGAGCTATACGGGACATGTTAGAAAACTAACAAGTACTTTTTAGAGACCGTAAATAATGCAAAGTTAAAATTATTAAACTGATTTACAAATGTTGAAAACAAATATTTTGAAGTAAGATTTCAGATTTTGCTCCATGTTTTCAGGGTTCTGCAGGGCAGCTATCCCCTATAACGAAGTCCGGATTATAATATGGGCAACCTGGGCACAGGCCTAGGGGCCCACAGCCACAAGGGGGCCCACGCAAGCAGCAGTCTTTTTTAGTTTTTGTGCAGCAGTCCTAATGTTGGAGAAAAATGTTGACAAGTAATTAAACTTGAGCCCACATTTTCTAAGTTAACACATTTCTTTTAACAATGGTAGTTTTTGCATCTTTACTGCCTGCTTCAGCTCCCCCCCCCCCCCCCCCCCCATTTTCTGTTCCTCATTTCTGATTACCTTCAATGGTGTCTGTTTGTTGCAACCACCAGGTATAAAAATGAACTTGTTTTTATTTGACTATTTTTCTGTCCTGTTTATTATCTTGCATCTCCTCTCAATCCTAAAGAAAAACTGCTACCTGGCTTCTTATATATTCACCTTATGAGTTACCTTTGAACTGCAGTTAAAAAGATCTACCGACCGCAAATATAGCGGAGTGCGCATTGCGTGCCGGTCGCACCGGTGAGGTGACGTCACCGGAGGACGAAACAGGTTATGCGCTCCGCTCTGCAGCAGTAAAACACATCAGGCAAAAATAAAAGACGGATAAACATAAAACAAAACATAAAAGGATATGAGCCAACATAAACGATCGTGTGTTAAATTTGTTTTTGAGGTGGCGACACTTTGAGAATGTTACTGTAGCCGTTCTCAGGACGCATCTGTCTGGAGCGCATGAACATCAGAGATCTGCGCCTCTCAGCTCTAAATAATCCCAGCAAACTCCACAAGAAAAATGTAATATAAATAGAACCATGATCGTTTTCGGGCTAAAAAATAGTCTACAGTCCATCTTCCCTAATGTGTTTGTGGCCCTGCGGATTTTTCTAACTCTACCTGGCTGCACTTCTTATATGTACCTCTCACCGTTCATAAGGGTACCGCGCCATCAGAATAGAGGATAATTCTGTCCGGAGGTGGATGGAGATTACATTTTACAGCAGCCTGATCATCATTTAAATACATAAACCATCACCTGTCTTCTAGGTCACGCTATCAGCATTATTTTAATTGGTGTGTGAGCGTTTGTGTGTGTTTTCCACTTCATACACTGGTCTAACCAACCAGACCAGCATGTCCAGTAACATATTGTTACAATTAAACAATTTCACCTCAAGTAGGCTAGGAACATTTCACCTGCCGTGGCCCGACCGCTTCTGCTACACATAAACTTTGTGTGTGATCCAATGTCTCTACAGGTACTTTCTGGGGTGGGGGTGGGGTGAGGGAGGGCGCTAAGCACATTGTGCCCAGGGGCCCCTGCAATGATGATCCAGCCCTGCTTCCATCGCTGCGATCATGCAATAGTCGTGTAGCTGGGCAAGAGGAGACATTGGAACATAAGGCTGACATTTCAGATGACGTCATTAATTTTGGAGGGGGAAAAAAACAAGCATCTTTGTTAAATGTTTATTTGCAGGGCTCTAAAGTGTGTGTGGCCCAGGGCAGTCACCTGTCTTTGATCAGTAATGTTGCCACATCACTTGCTTATAACAAAAATGGTCATTCCACTGTGGTAATTCAAATTCAGCAACAACTGAATACTGAAGTATTTGGGTGGCAGGACAAGTGGCTGATGTCACTGCTCTGAATGGAAGTTTGAATGGTGTGCATGTGCTTCAGGTAGCAAGTGACTCAAATATCAACGAAAGCCAAACAAGTGAAGACGTGTGTTATCTGTTCATCGTAGATGTCACAATTTTTATGTCTTTTCTTTTACTGCGTGTTTAAAGAACTGGCCACCTGTGAGGCCCCACACCACAGAAATATCGCTTCAGTTATTATTTCGTCAAATTCTAAGGAAATGTTATTTAGAAGGTTGGATGTACATGTGGGTGGTGTTCTTTGAACATGTGAAAAACAAACCCTGCCTCAAGTCAAAGAAAACAACAGCTGCCTTATCTACAATGAGCAGTTTTTATTCAATCATTTACAATAAAGTCAAACGTAAAGGCTGTGTGTCCTAACCATTACACACAACTGTCAGCTTCTACATGCAAATGTGAACTCCAACCATCACAACAGAGCACAGTGCTGGGCTGTTTTCAGCTTTCTATTTATTCTGGAAACGACTAAACACTGAGAATATTACATTTCAGTTTAGGCCATATTAAGTAGAATTTTAAAAAGACTGTTGGGCCCTGAGGGCTCTCTGTGAATAATACCGAGCATCATGTTTTAAGACTGGGGCGCTAAAGGTCTAAACCACCACCTACTCATCAGATTAGTCACAGAGTCTGCATGAATCATTCTCACTCACCAGTAAAAGTACTTATTAATGTGTTTAGATCTTGGTGGTGATGTGGTCTAATTATCAGAAAAGTGTGTGCCCCAAACATTGACTGTAAAAATGTGACATAAGAGAAAGAAAAAGAAAATAAACATTTAGCAATCTCTAGAACTCAATAAAAATTTAGAATTTTCAAAAATAAACAAACAAAAAAAGATGAGAAGCCAGATCTGAGAAGACAAAAAGCAGTCAGATAGATGTGTGTTCGTACACACCTACACAAACTCACACAAATACATGATGTTCAGAGATGTTCAAAACACACAAGCAGCAGATTCAGGGGCCACTGAGGCAACTGAAAACCTGCTGTCAACATCATTCCCTTCGATCTTACTAAACAGTGTAGGAAAGTTATTTCACCCATTAGCTAACTAATCATACATAAAAAGCTGTTAACCATACAGTGGGTAAGCCAGAAGGGTTTCCTTGTCACTCTGTCTTATCTTCTCCCTGCTCCTGTTTCACCTCTTCATAAGTGGCTTCTTCCTCTTTCTCAACCCCAGCAGCTTCTTTAGCATTTGGGACCCAGAGTCCTGAGTCAATGCATCTCTTCATGTGAAGCTTTGCCTCCTAAATTGTGAGAAAGAATCACAATAAATTGCAATTTCAGTCAAATAATGTCAATATATAACAAACCTAATCAACAACATAAGAATAACCTACCGTCGGGTCCATTTTGCTAATAACATCCTGTAGCATCTGGATGTCCTTCTCATCAAAACATTTCTGCATCTCCTACAATTAAACACACTTTATTACAACACAGGTAAAACAGTGACATCAGAAATATGTCATTTGTCACTCAGTCAGCCACTCTCCCCCACCTCCAAATGTCACACCACTCAACACCACCACCCTTCCTCAGGACCAATTCAAGTTTATTTATAAAGCGCCAAATCATGACAAGAATTGTCTCAAGGCATTTCACATTGTAAACATTCCAATACAGGTCAGTTCATTAAACCAATCAGTAAAAAGTTTCCTATATAAGGAACCCTGCAAATTGCATCAAGTCACTGACTAGTGTCAGAGTCTTTACAGCATGTTCACCCCCTCTGCAGTAAGAGCGTGTAGCTCCTCAGTTTAACTGATACTGGCATGATCCTGGTACACAATAACACCAATGCAATATTCAGTGTGTGTTCAATACTTGTGCAATACCTGATTCACATTAGCATGTGTGTGTCCCCTATGCTGCAACGTTCTGGAAACCCAAGTTTCTTTTCATTTGTTGTTTTTAGTGGTTGAAGGTTAGCTTACTGCCTCTGTGTGTTTACCTGTAATCTTATTACTTTTCTACTTCCTGTTCTCTAAGTGGATGTGTTGCTGTAGTACGTTCATTTCCCCACTGTGGAATTAATAAACTCTATTCTATTCTATCTGAATGTCCTTCCCATCAAATCATTTCTGCATCTCATATAATTAAAAACACTCTGTATTACAACGCAGGTAAAACAGCGACATCAGAAATATGGTTAACACATTCACTTACAGGTGGAAGGGACTCGTACACCTCCGCGGGGTCTAGTCCCCCAGGACCCATGCGTTTCTGTCGTTCTTCTTCTTCATACTCTTTAATGGCCTTTTCGATGCGGATCTTTGCTCTTCCACGGACTCGCTCCTTGAATGACTCCAGCTCATCGTTGAAAGCATCCTGGTACTGCTGGTCTGCTGTCTGGGTGAATAAACATACAAGAAAAGTAACATGAAAGCACTTCCAACATGGAGTGTTTTCAGAAACTTCATCAAAACAAACAAGAATAGATATAATTTTACTTTTTAAAAAAGTATCCCCTTAAAAACGTATGTAATACAAAAGTCCAAACACGTAATAATTACCTTGATCTTTGCAAAAAACTGGCGAAAGCAACCACGGGGGTCCAGTTTGAGGCTTTTGGCCAACTCAAGAATGAACTGCATAACGATGGTCTGATGAGCCACCTGTTCCATCAGAGCATGTTTCTGCAAAACGAAGAGGCACAGAGGCTCATGTTCTAATCAGACAGTGACCATGTAAGACATACAATAGTAGCACGAGATTTCTTTTAAGCTGTTTACCTCCTCAACTTCAAGGTCAATACACATGATGACAAGGTAGTTGGCAGTTTCTTCACATACAAGATGAGGATTGTCAGAGAGGTACTTCTGGCTGTCATCCCAGCGTCGCAGCATGCCTGAGGTTACCACAGCGACAAATCAGCATCTCTATTTTTACTGTCCTACTGATTTGCTCATTTTAATCATGGTTGTCAGGCGGGCTTACCAAAATGTTTGAGCTGCTTTTCGTTCTTCTCCACAAAAGTTTTATGTTTTTGCTCCTTCTCCTCTTCTGTCTCTTCAGAAGGGTCTGGTTTGACGTTAACAATGCTCTAATGAAGACAAACAAAACACCGTTAATAGATGACGACTGCATTCAAATGCATTTTATTGCATCGTTCTGTAAGTTAACGGCATGTTAGAATGTTGTATATAAGCTCTAAATATTCAAAAATAACACACTTCATATAAACCTTGATTATGTTTATTTACAATTAAAGGATGATTTTAGTTTGTATTTTCAGGAGATTGTATACAAGCTACTCCCAACAAAAAAATGACCAACTTTCATGCTGAGCATCAAACTAGACTGATTTTAAACATGAAATTGGGGGAAAAAAATATTGCCATCAAACCGCTGAGACAACTATTGATTATAAATTGACAGGTCTGCCAACATTGATACCAGTGGATGCAAACCAATACTTTCTATTTCGCAGTAAGCTGTTGCCTGATCCTAGTCACCTTGCTGAAACCATCTCTGCTGAGTGTGTCCACGTTCCACGGCATCTTCTTCTCCTCTCTGTTGTATTCATCCAACTTCCTCTCCCAATCTCTCTCCTCCTTTTTCAATTTCTTCTCCTCAGCCTGGACTTTGCTCAGCTCTGCTTTGGCCTCACCCGACACATTTAGCTCTTGCAGTTTCTTTTGCGTCTCAGTCAGCTTGCGCCGACATTCTTTCAGGCTCTTGTTGATGTCTTCTCCTTTTTTCTGGAACTCTTCCATTCGATCCACACGTGCCTGAAATGGGATGATGCCAATCACAACTGGAGGTACAAAACTTTTACAATACACTTTGTTACAAGTTTTGTAGGCTTAGTAATTCACTACAGCTACATAAACAGGTTTGCTTGGAATTAGCATAGGGAGAATGTTGTTTGCAACACCAAACTGAGTCTAGGACGCCAGCTAACCAAAGTACCAGTCCGAAGTTAAAAGAAAATCAAAACTCAGTCACGTTATAAATCAAAAAGGTACCTGGTGTCTCCATCTGAAGAGGCTGGGTGTGTCAATGTTTGGGTGGGTATCATCTTCATCGTCCGAGACCTCAATGTGATCCCACACGCTGTAATCTATCCTGGACATCCTGTAAACCAGAACCTAGCTTGTTTTAAGAGTTCGATAATTTCAATTAAAACTCTCGGAAAAACAAATTCAACAACACTCTGACGCTTTCCAAAGTCTCCGAAAGATGTGTTAACTACCAACGGCGCATTAGACTGTGGTCTTATCAGAAGGGAAGGAGCTGGACTGTCTCAGCGACAGTTAGCCAAATGCTGCTACAAAATTCTAGAAAGATTCGCTGCTGCAAGCTTCCGCTACACGCCTAAACGTCATGACGTAAAAAGCACGTATGACGCAGGTGTTGTGGTAAAAAATGCACTCGTATGTGCCTGCGACCGTATGTTAAACTTACTAGAAAAACCAAGTTTTTCACAAACGCACCCCGTTAATAAACAAGTAAAGATGTATGAGTTAAAGTTCGGTTTCGAACAAAGTCTGTTTGACACAAATGCCTATACGAACAGAGGGGCTTTTTCCGGCACAACACCAGAAGTTACAAAAGTGAACTGAACAGATTTCCTTCATTTCTTTCTTCGTATTTTTACTGTAGTTACTCAGATTTCTAAACAACCGAAATATCGTTTCCACTATATAGATACCATTTGTGTAGCCTACATAAAAACCATAATGTCTGATCGTGTACCAATCCATCCTTATCCTCATATTATTGCATATAGTTAAACCTGGTTAGCAGCAGATTAGTCAGAATGTTAGTCTGTTGTACAGATTATAAAAGTATTTACATCACAACTATTTTTGTAGTTTCTTTACAAGACGTGACTTATTTTTCTCCACATTTGTGCTTTGACTTTCTTTTATTTATTAACTTATTATTGTATGCTAAACTGAAAGTACTATAAAATATCAAGTATCTTACACAATTATTTTTCAGCTAATCTAAACATTTCGGTAAAACTTAAAAAAGCAAACTGTTTTTCTCTACCGAATAAAACTATCTTCTTGGACTTTTCCCCCTTGTCAAACATCCACAGACTGAGGCTGTTTTCTCAGCGAGACATCTTACCTTCTTTACTGGACCAAGAACAGAGGCTGAGAGGTCTTGATGATGGTATAGTGTTCAGCTTTTTTTTTTTTTTCATTTTATTTTTTGTTATTCTTTGGATGGAAAAACCACAAGTAAATGTTTAGATATAAACTAGCAAACGCTTCTCAAGAAACAATAATTAGAGCTGACCCTGAAAGCTGACTGGAGATCCAAACAAGCCAGTATTCAGTATGGCATCTTAACCAGTGATCATCCAAATACCAAAAATCTGATTGATTTTTCATTAAACATAAACAGCCCAAAATAGTAGTATCAGCTCAGCAGGTCAGGGTTGAAAAAGAAATCTGCATGTTGGCCCTTAAATCCAGAATCAGCTCATCTCTGGAATTGTTAAATTTTCTCTTGTTTCGTTTGCTTTCAGCCCTTCATCCACCCAACATGGACATTCTTATAAGTGCCAGTAAGCATTTTGTTGGACACATTCAATTAGAATAAATCTAAATGATTTCAAGAGTTTGAAACTGGTAATCTCAATGTTTGCACTGTGAAGATGGAACCTCGACGTGATCAATAATTTATTAATGGATGACTTTTGCAATGAATTTTAGTATTTTGTTAGCAATGGTCAGTTTTAAAATAGTACGTGTAATAATAATAGAATAATTGCTCTCTTTATCAATCTGTTTAGGAAGCTTCTAAAGAAGTAATGACTGAAGGATGAAAGTTGGTGTTAGGATGGTGTAATATGGAACATATTATTGCCACACATGAGATTGTTTTTAGAAATTAAATATGTTTCTGAAAATACTTACAGTGTGTTCTATATGTGCATTACTCACAAGCATGATGATAAAAAAACCTATTTTTACAGACCTGAACAGGGACATGAAAACACACACAAATAGACAAAAATATAGATCAGTTAAATGTTTTACCTGGTGATCGTGAATCGTCACGTTTACATTAACCCAGAGCTCTGAGCAGAATAAACACGAGGAGAGCTGGGACCACTTTAATATAAATATCAGGAGTTTAGTTTGGGTCTGCCACCAGAATCACAGTCAAGATGTCTACTATCAGTCTTTTAATGTATTTGTTTCTGTAAGCAAGCATATTTATAACAGTCTCACGCATGGACGTAATTTTCACTTTAGAAGTGGGGGGGACACGGGTGTGTGTGTGTGTGTGTGGGGGGGGGGGGGGGTATCTTTACAGTATGCTCTAATGGGAAACAGGCTTCAACACAAACAGTTGTTTTCCACTTGGTCCTAGAGCTCAACCAGTGTGAATTTAATATAGCATAAAATTGTTTTTGGATGGTAAAAAGTGCAGGGGTCAAAACTTGACTTTGGAAAAAGTGGGGGGGACATGTCCCCCCTGACCCCCCCCCCCCCCCCCCCCCCCCCCAAATTACGTCCATGGTCTCACGTGATCTTCAGCTCACTGGCATGCAAAGATTCGATCATTTTAACACGATCAGAGGGTGTGGACATAACCTGGTTGTAGTTAATCACACTGCCAGGGAGGAGTGTTATCTTAAAGCTTTACACGTTTACACGTCCAGTGTTAAGTTTAGTGTGTACTTTTATGATAATTATTATGATACATGTAATAATGAATACATTCCAACGGTAAATGCCAAACACACTGACATTTGATTGAGATGTTTTTATGCGTTGCTCTTGTTCCCCGTTGGTTTGGACTCCCTAAACCCGGAGCAGCAGATGGATTTCCCGGCCTGAGCTTCACAGCACCGCCGCATCTCTCGGATCACATTCTCACACAAACTCTCCGAGTAGTTGTTGGCTGCAGGAGTGGAACGGAGTTATGTGACTGTGGGGTTCGCCCGCTGTCTAGCAGCATTTTCATCTACATTTAATGTACCTTGCAGACACTTTTGAATAGCACATGCCTGTTTTTGACACGGATCTTTCTCCGGCATGCCTGAAAGAAAACGCAGCAATAGTGTAATCAAATCTTAAAGCATCAGGATACCCAAAAGGACCTAAAAGCCGATTCCCACCTGGACGTCTTAGCTAGTGCGATGCATTCTCCTCTCGCGAGAGTGATCATGTGACGCAACGAGATCTAATCAAATCCGGACAATGAACAACAGCGACCTCTGGTGTTGCAAAGGAATTTGACAACGTCGCCTTGAAAACCTAAATGTAATTCCAAAATGTTTTGCAGTAACCGAACATAAAATGTATTTATAGAATAATTTTGAATATTTTTTTCATTAACTAACCTTCAGAAAGTATAAATTTACATTTTAAAGAAGCCATAATCTTTTGGTGGGAGGTATTTTTCACAAGTACGGAAATTTTGTTTATTTATTTACATTACTCAGAACTGGCACTAATAACTATCAAAATACACGTTTAAAAATCAAACCATAAAAAGAATTTTTTGTTTATTTAACTTTATTTATAAAGATAAGAACATTTAGAAACAGTTCATATTTACAGTAACTTCACATTGTTAGTCATTGGAGTATCAAGGGTAGTTATACTTTGTCAAATTATGATTTTATTTACTTATTAGATCATTAAAAATATTCTAGTACATATATAATAAGGGAAATTTTATTACATAAAACAACAACAGTAGACTACGACAAAAATCAACCTTCACATAATAAATGGCGTTTGCTAAACATCTTCATTTGTCTTCTTTGTGAGATCTAACTCTGTATGATAACAGAATACATCAAAACATCCACTGATTACTGAATGCTTCCATCTCATGAGGCAGCAGCAATAAAACCTGCTCAGTGAAATTCTTCCAGCTGATTCAAGTCCTGTTAGTGGGCCTTAAACACCTGAACAACAGAAAACAAATTAGGATGCAGAGTTTTACTTGCAGATGTAGTTCCTCATACTTCCCCTTTACCTTTGGTCTTTGCTTTGACAATGAACTGTTTGCTCTTCTTTTCCAGCGTGTTTGAGGCAGCACAGGTGTATGTCCCAGGGAGAAGGGAGGAGGAGGTGATGACTGCTTCCTCCTTCACCCGCTCCTCTATGGGATGGGAGGATTGCCAGCTGTAGGCAGGAGCAGGGTTTCCTGCAGCTGTGCAGTTTAGGGTGATCCCATCACCCTCGGTAAGTTCTAAAACTTCTGTTTCAGGACTGAAAAAAGTTGGGGGAACTAAAAAAAAAAGAATGACAGACTTTACTTTTCATTATTGGGACATTTTAGGAGTGAAAGTAGCTTCATAACTCACAGAGGACATAGGCAGTGAGAGGTTCTGAAGACACTGTTGGAGGTGGTTGAGGTCCTTCTGGTCCAAGCTCCAGTTCTGCTACACACTTATACTCTGCCTCGTTCTCAGCTTTGGTTGGTGTGATGACAAGAGTAGAAGACACTTGGACAGGAGAGGAAGATGTGAGGTCAGAGAAGGAGTGTTTGTACACCTCTGTCTGACCTCTGTACCACCTCAGGGTGAGATACTGAACAGGAGCAACGTTCTGAACCTCACAGAGGAGCTGGTACTCCTTCCCCTCCATCATGGGGCCGGTGTGGTTCACCAACCTGATGGAAACACTGTCGGGAGATTCTGAAATGAAGGGGATCAAAAGTTCAGCTCAAACATTCAGCTCTGTCATGAAATTTAAAAATGAGAGGGACTGACTCACTATAGAGAACGAGGTTGAGTTTCTCCTCACACTGTCTCGGAGCTTTGAAAAACACCCCATAGCAGATGGGTTCCTCGATCCAGTCGATAAGACTGTCCACTTTCCACTGGACAGACTGGTCCTCCTGTGTGTGTGGCGTTCCGATGGCCGATTCCCAGCCCAGGACCCGAACCGGGCGTGTAGCTTCACAGCTGACCGACACCGACTCCCCAAACCCCACCACCACCCTGGAGGGCTTGAGAATGAGGGAGCAACCTTCACCTGACACTGAGGCACACGGGGACTCGTGAGCAAGGATTGGTATGGCTAAGCCAGTCAGAGATGCAATAAAACAACTTTTCACTGTTCAGATCAAGCCTGTTCAGTAGCAAAATGACTCATAACCAAACATGTTATGGTGTTCAGATTTTAATCCACAACATGCTAAAATAATCTAAAGTACTTCCCTCTGAAGTTGCAGCTCATTATGGATCCTTTAGTCCACAGATCAGTTTAAAAGTTTCTGAACCCAAATAAATAAAACACCTCATCTTACCTGAACAAAGCAGGCAGGAAATGATAATCCACGCTAGAACGTTCTTTCCCATGGTATTTGTTTAGCACCGAGCCGTCGAAAGAAAGAAAATTCCAACTTGAACAACCTTGGCAACTCTGCAGGGAACGTGGAACAAAACACGGTTCCCTCCCAGCTGACTTAGGGGATGGAGGGGAGGACTGGGAAAGAGGGACATTTAACACAGCCCATTACTTCCCCTTCTGAGATGTTTAGGGATTAAATCAAAAGCTTATAATCGCCTCTGCAAATTTACAACTAGAATATCTGAGATCTTACAGAAAAATCAGCAAACGCTTTGAATATAAGCCGTTGGGATTAACAGAACTCCAGCTTAATGTAAATCTGAATTCCTGACATTCATGTCAAGTAGATTCTTGCCATCAAGGTGGTTTTTATAAAAGCTGGACGACAGACTGGATCTCTTTGCTTTGCAGCTTGTTTCATCCTGCCTCTGGCCTCCACGCTGCTGGACCCCAGCAGGCTGGAGCGCTGCTCTGGTGCTGCATGCAGCTTGTGAGGCTCACACTGTGACCAGAATGCAGCACAGCGCATCGCCTCAGGCCACAACAGTTGCACAAGAAGGCGAGAAATCACATGCTTTTTTAGGGTGTATTTCTGGAGAGGACAGCTGGGAATCTCCACAACCACATTCTCACTTTACTTGCAGCTTTAAATATGCCTCAACACGTTCTGTGGACAAACATGTCTGCAGGAAAACCTTTATCTTTCAAGTCTATGACTAATTGAGCCTTTTCCCATCTGCCAGGTTTCTATGGCAACACCAGAAAAGCAGAAACAAACAGTTGACCTACTTCAGGATAACATCTGTACCAGAAATCACAAGAACAACACACAAGAACACACATTTAGGGGTACAAAGCTTTATATTGATGATTTAAAGCAGAATTACACCTTTATTTACATTCCTTTTGTACAGAACTAATTAGTATGGCGGTCGTAGTGCAGCACGAGGAAAACAGCCAAAAACAGAACTGACAAAAAGGTGCAAAGAAACACAAACATGGTGTCAGGATTCAGCCTAAAGAGGTCACTGACAGAGAAGCTAAACATGCAAATACATTCATCATTTTTAGGTTATAATACAGTTTAAAAGGACCTGAAAATGACTTATCAGATAATTCATCCGTCACAATAACTATGCTTCAAGCACCCTTTTCACTGGCGAGTAAACATTTTGTGCTTTTAAAGCCAGATGAGCTCACTAGAGCAGTTGCAGTAATAATTGTCCCTTACAGTATGGCTTCTCGTCCTTAAGTTTCATTATCCGTGTGTGTCAACACACACACACACACACACACACACACACACACACACACACACACACACACACACACACACACACACACACACACACACACACACACAAACAGATTTAAAAACATAAACTAATTTAAAACTACATATATGTATTATCTCATAATCACAGAGTAATTAGGATGAACTGATGGATAAAGACAAGTTTAAAGCAGTTAAATGCTGGTGTATTTGTCATAGAAAAACAAAAACACACGAAAATAACTTGGGTAAATGGTTTTGGGCTGTATCCTAATAAAGTCTCTTTGGCAAACAGAATGTTTATATTTACGTTTATGTTTATTCATTTAGCAGACGCTTTTATCCAAAGCGACTTACAATTTATAACCTGTAGGGCATGTTGTGATCTGTGGGGGAAACCGGAGTACCCGGAGGAAACCCACGCCTGCACGGGGAGAACACGCAACTCCACGCAGAAAGGCCGCAGCCGAGTTTCGAACCTGCGACCTTCGTGCTGCGATGTCTTTGTGAGAAATGGATATAAATCTGTCCGAGAACATCCATCTTATTCCTGAAAATCCTTCTCACTTGTTGCTAGAAAACCCTGAGTTGGAATTACTGCAGGTATTAATACGAGTAGGTCCTGAAAGCTGTAGCAGAGCAGATCAACAACATCTAACCTGAGAGGAGCACAAAAATAATCACCTGCTAAACAAACGTCTAGGAGCTGATGGAAACCACCAAGTCTGCACAAAGGTCAGAGGTTTTCATTCCTCAGCATCATCCCTAAAAATCAAACCTTTTCCTCCTCAGTATGTTAAGTAGGATACAAAAGGGTAAAAGGATTCAGCCAACATGTGACATGTTTGGAAAAAAACCCGAATACACAAAACATGTTACAATCACACTGTTATTTACAGTACATGTACCCACTGTCCTCTCCGAGATAAACAACAATGATGCTAAAATGCTCTGAGCTCCAAAGCAAAGTGAGTTTAACACAGAGTTAGTGTGTTCATGCTCCCCAGTAATCAGAGAGCTGCATAAAAACGGAAGTAAGTACCACCTAACCACAGCAGCTGTTTAAAATTAGAGTTTGTTCTGTTCCAGTGACTCAGCGGGAAGATGATGCATCCAAAGTCAGACCGACAGATTAAAAAAGAAGCTGGGGGTGGGGGGGCGCTACCAAAACTGTCTCACACACACATACTTGTCTCTGTATCCTTGTGAGGACCCCCCTCCATTGATTTCTATTCATTTTTGGGACTCCACTAACCCTTACCCTAACCAACGCTGTTATATTCCTAATCCTAATCTAAATCAAAAGTTAATTCACACCATACCTCTAAAACCACGTTTAAGGGTATTTTGTCAGTGTGTGGATCAGCCAGATGTCCCCATAATGTGGACATGTCCACACACACACACACACACACACACACACACATTAGAAGTTCAAAGGTGTCCACCTAAAGAGACACTGTGTAGTTTTTACAATTCATTTATGAAAATATCCATTAAAATGTTGTTGAAGATGAATTAAATTATGCCCAGTTGTTGAAAAATATTGGCGGCTTTGTAACATATAACCATAAAAATCAGGTCTAAAATACATGGGAGCGGGTGTAAGGGTGTGTCTCAATGCCAAGGAACCTCACCTTGATATCTTGGCCCCGCCCCGGTTGCCTAGGAGATACGTCATCAGGAACCACCATGGCGTGTTCCAATGTTCATGTTGTACCGAGGCGTGTGTTCTCTGTTTGTTAGCCGTTTAGCTAGCTGAGCAAGGATACACGGGAGGTGTCTTGCAGCCTTGGTCAAAAATTTCCCAGAATACACCGCAGTATTTTCTAAAAGATGGCGGATCAGAAGCAGGCAGCTACTTCGGGGGCAAAGATCAAATTTAAAAGTAAGTCAACTAATTGTAGCTATCGGGCTGATATCTGAAATATTTTTTATCTCCAAAGCAGTTATCGATGGTTGGTTAGTTGCTTAGTAGTTGCAGCTTTGGTGGCTAGCGGGTAGTAACTCACTTACATATTTAATTTAACAAACATATACACAAATTAAAAAGTAAAAGTCTTGTTATATATTTAAATTGAAACTAATACATGTAAAATATAACGTTATCTCCCGTGTCACGGGATGTTACATAACCGCAGTGGAAGCCGCGGTCACGTGATGCAAGTCTGTTCCATTTAACCGTTTTCTTTGACCAAGGAAGGACAGTGTCCTCGTAAGGCCAGGCGCCTTGACACTGAGAAACACCCTAAGTCTCGGGGCGACGCTATATTAGATACCATGTTTCCTTCTACGGGAGCCCATGAGGACAAAATGCATTTACTGATTTGTAACAAATGGCTACAAAACTTTCGCCATTCTTAAATGTTGTTTTACACATTTACCTCCACTTCTTTTCAGTGATGAAAGGGAGTCTGACGTGTTCGTTATTTTGCTAAAGTTTGCACTCCCCAGGGCTTTTTGACCCTAATGGGCATCTGTTGGTAAGGTCTTACTCCAACACAAAAATACTGCTTGCTTGCAATAATTTAGGTATCTACTGGTCCCATCACCAGGAAAAATACATGCCATCACTTTAAGCATATAAAGACAAGTATACAGTATATACACACAAACACACACACACACACACTGAGACACACACACTAAATGTACCGACCGTTAAAACAATGGTAGTAACCAATCAGCTCAGATCAGATTTTCCAGCCACCAGCATGCAAACACCAACAGAACATACTAAGCACACAGTACCTCTCACACTCTACCAAGGTACCTTACCGGTGTTTCTCCAAACACAGTTTTCTAAGAAAAACCAAAAAGGCCTTTGGATGAAATAACCAAAATAAGCTTAGATCGACTCCAGCCTCATTTAGGTGCTGATCGTCTTCTGCAAGAAAACTTTCCATCCGGTGTAACAAAATGAAGTCCAGCCAAGAAGAGCACGGCGCCCAGGAAGATAAATCCTGCCAGTATGGCTACAAAGACAGTTCTATTCCCTGTGAGAGAGAAGAATTGTTGTTACAGTCACACACTCAGCTAATCTTGTTAGTGCTCATGAAACAGCGAGGTTCTCTGTGATAAACCACACATGCCAGAACAATGATTACAACAAAGACAACAGTCAGCTGTGATCTCGGAGCGGCTACCTTCAGGTAAAAAGAGGAATCTACAAAGTTCAGTAGCAACAGATTACCTTCAGCTTCGGTGATGATGAAATATTTGGTTTTACTGCCGAGCGTGTTAGAGGCTGTGCAGCTGTAGGTCCCCGAAAGCACCAACTCTGGAGACAAAGCAGCCTTGTTCATATTTTTGATCTGCTCCTCTGGATGTGTGGAACTTGCAAAACTCCAGTTATAAACTGGTTTAGGGTTTCCAGCAGCTGTGCAGTCAAACGTCATACTGGAATGAGACCTTTCCAGGGTCTCATTTTCAGGCCGAAGGAAGTTTGGGGGGTCTGAGAATGTATACCAAAGTGGATTATTAAAGCAGAATCCCTTCAAGTTCGTGATGGTTAAAACGAGAGAAAGTCAAAAACTTACAGAGTACATTTAACACAAGTGGTTGTGATTGCATCGTGAGAGGAGCACCACCATCTGGGAACACGTCCAGCCTGGCTTCACACCTGATCTCACTTCCATGATCATCTCTGCGAGGAGTAAGGTCTAAGGATGATGCAACATCGAGCGGAGTAAAGGAGTCTTCAGAAAATGTCTCTTTCTTTAATTCCCCTTTTTTTCCAAGCCAAAATACAGAGAGGTTTTGAGCTGGTGCAACATCCCTAACATCACACTTCAGGAAATACGTCACCCCCTCCAGCAGGTGTTCAGGTGGATTAGTGACGGACACGTTCGCTGGCATTTCTTTAGAGATAGAAAAGATAAAAGAAAGTCAAATTCAGACATTCATTTGTATTAATAAACAAAAAAGCATGTTACTCACTGTAGACAGTGATTGGTAGGATTTCGTGGCGTTGAGATTGATTATCAGAAAAAGAGATGTAACAGTGTGATGTTATCTCCCAGTCCTTCACTTTGTCAATTTTATAAGGTAACGAAGAGACATTCTTAGTGAGGCGCACTGCTCCGTATGGAGACTCCCAACCCATTCCCGTCACATTGTGACAGGACAATGAGGTACAGTTGGCATCTACAGGATCTCCATATCTCACCACAACTTTGGGAGGAGTGAACATGATGCCACAGGCGCTCACGGGCAATCCTAGAGGGGCACACACAAGTAAAAATAAAGTTTAGCTTTAAATAGGTGTGGAAAATACAATGATTTGAATGAAAAACATAGCCATCTCTGAGTAAAAGTATAAAAAGTTTAATATAGAAAAAACATTCTGTAGATCTCTGCGCACAACTGGAAAACAATAGTGAATGACTTTTGTCCCTTTCAGGGAGAACCCGCCTGGGACGGCTCAGAACACCACGCACTTTACACAGTGTCTTGTTCTCATTCATAAATTCAAATTCAATTCAATTCAAAAATACTTTATTAATCCCAGAGGGAAATTGATTTCTGTAGTAGCTCTGAATAATAATAATAATCAAGTCATCAAAGAGTTGTTGTATATTACAATGGCTGTTGGCAGGAAGGATCTCCAGCAGCGGTCAGTGTTGCAGCCAAACTGAAGAAGCCTCTGACTGAAGACACTCTTCCGTTGTCTGACAGTCTTGTGAAGAGAATGCTCAGGGTTGTCCATCATTTTCTTGATTCTCTGGAGAATCCTTCTTTGCATTATCTCCTCCAGTGGTTCCCAAACTGCCGAAACTCTGGCGGAGTCCTTGAAAGGGCTTGGAGTTCCTCCATCTTGTTGGCCAGTGATCTCACATTGCCCATTATGATCGATGGAAGAGATGGTTTGAATTTCCTCTTTCCCTGTCTCCGTTTTGCTCCCGCTCTGCACCCACGCTTCTTGCATTTTAGCTTATTTGGGATTTGTGGCTTCAGTTGAGGTATTATTTCAGCCTTTCCAATGTTAATCAACTGCTCCCGATTGTAAACCAGTTTGTTGCCATGGTTACGCATCATAACAAATGCTGAAAAAGTGAGAAAAGCTAAAAAATAGCAGTAAAAATCCTCCAAGCTTCACAGCACCAGAAACAGAAAAGTAAAGTGTCCAAAAAATACAGTTTTTCTTGAGAAACTAGAAGAAAAAATGCCCAAGAAAAGGCAAAACTTAACATATAGTGCTCTGGACGTCACGTGACTCTCAGAGTAGACGCCATGTTTGCAGGCAACAAATGTCAACAAATTAAACGGGATCGGCTAGGATTTTACTTCGTCTGAGTTTACTTCACACTTTAAAACAGAAGAAATTGTTTTATATAGTCAGAAATTAAATAGACTAAACATCTCCGACCCTTACCGTGCCCCTGGGATACTTTTTAAAAACGCCAGAAGCTGTCGGAGCGGACTTCTTACCGGACCTGGCCGGGGAACCCCTTGGGATTCCCCCGGAGGAGCTGGCCCAAGTGGCTGGGGAGAGGGAAGTCTGGGCCTCTCGACTTAGGCTACTGCCCCCGTAACCCGACTCCGGATAAGCGGATGAAAATGGATGGAAGGATGGACAAATAACAGATTTACACGTAAGTAGTTTAAATAGAGTGCTGTGCTGTTTGGATGTATAAACTGAACACCAAGAGAAATCCCTAGTTTGATTTTATTCCGTGAATAAAATAAATATGACAGGCAGGAGCGTCTCAGGATCTGTCTGAGATCCGTCTCGGTGAGACAGATAATAGCAATCCAAAGTGCTTTTTATGTGTGATCTGACAATTGATCAACCATTGCTTAAAAGTTAAATACAGCTTAGCCGGTTAATTGCTGTGATCATAAAACACGTAAACGGCAGCACGCAGAACTCACGAGGCAACGTTTTACATGATGTTTCCTTGCTGCTATGAGTAATAAGACAGAAAAAGCCACACCAAAATAAGTTTAGGAAGCCCACTAAGAATTGTAATAAAAGCATTTAAAATAAATACCATACACAGTTGAGGAAACGTTGGTTTAAGTACCTGATATGAAGTGGTCGCTGCATAAGTGAAAACTCTCGGGATCCCTCAGTTTCATTTCAGCCCGGTCACTAGCGCGTTTTATTACAACGATCCAACGTTTGCGGCGCTCCGGATCTTGGGGAATCCTGTAGATGGCTCATTCCTTATGTCGTCCGCGTCTGTTCTGCATCCTGGGGCACAACAGGAATCTACCATATTGCCCGTTTGATTGAGTTTTCTGACAATAACAAATAGTCCAGCTGCGGGCTTCTGCCTGCCAATATGGCGCCATTTCGATTTGAACTGTTGCATGCCGGGAGAAGTGACGTCAACTCCCGGAGCTCTATAGCCAACAGAGCTACTCCAACATGCAGCCACTCAGAGCAGTGCAGTTCCGAAAAAAAAAAGACAAAACAAGAAAGTTTTAAAATTAAATCCAGAAGGTTGAACAACTTCTTTGAGCATCTGATGGAAACATAAACTGATAAACTGAAAAAAACTGAATTGGAAAATTGGAAGATGCCACATCCTCCATCAGTGGTGGAGGGGCATCCAAACGTTTCAGACGCCATATTCTGTTAAATATTTACAATGGATACGGAAATTATTCAGACCCCCCGTCAAATTTTCACTCTTTGTTATATTGCAGCCACTTGCTAAAATAAATTAAATTATTTTTCCCTCATTAATGTATACCCAGCACCCCATACTGACAGAAAAAAAAAAATTATAAATATCTGCAGAGTATTTAAAAAGACGAATGAAGAATCACATAGTCCAGACCAGCACTCTGAAGTTGCAAATGCGGTATTCTGGCCACAAAAGGCAGCGGGGGGTCTAAGTGACTTTTCATTTACCCTAAAAGGATCATTTTAGCACACAGTGGCTCAAGAAAATAATTTCAAAATATGATAAAGTTGTATAGTGTGGCTTTAAGCTGCTGGGATGTTATGAAACATTAGAAGAATTTTTCACTTTCAAAACCTTAGCAACGGATCTCAGTTTTAACTACATGATACAACTTGCCACTGGTGCTACCTTAAAGGGCTTGTTCAACGGCAAACATGTAATGCTTATTTCTTTTTAAATATGTCTGGTCACTTTGAGTTGCAAATGAATGCTGAACATGAAATCTTTCTTCAACCCCATTACCTCCTGTAGCGTAGCAGACCAGATCAACCGCTCACCGATAAATCGCTGCTCCTTGTTACAGACTGGATGGGAAAGAGTCACATGACTAGAGTGGCAAGGACTCAACTGGTCGATGTCACAGGGACACAGACATCAGAAACCTACTCACACCTTTTCATTTTTCTCTTAAACACGGAACATACTGACATGGGTGAAATGACATTGGTAAGAGTCATAGAATTTAGTAAAGGTAAATTTTTGTTTTACTGCCCATTTCTAATTGGATAGGTCGTCTCCATTTGGACCCACCCACACACAAACACACTGCATCCCACTGTGGAGCCCATGGGCAGCTCATTCAGTGGAAGACTGGGACATCCACATTGTAAAACAGCTACCATAGGTCCAAGGCCGGATTAACCATATGGGCAACTGGGCCAAAGCCCAGGGGTCCACAAACTCTAAAGGGCCCAGGCCAAGGGCAGCAAGGGCACGAGCAAAATACTGTATCTGTAAACTCCCGCTTCAAGGGTGACCGTCCTGTTTTCCCCGGATATGTCCAATTTTCACTCTCTGTCCGGGGCGTCCGGACTGGGGGTTCTTGTATTGATGAAAATATCCGGTTTTTCATCCAGGAGCAGGGATCGAATTATGGGGGAGCTGGATATCTTACACACATCCAGAGGAGCCGGAAAAAAGTTTTCTACCTATATGACATCATTCATGGACTCTTTTGAGCAGAGAGCACAGAGAGCGGCAGAGCGATGACCGTTGGTGCGTAGCGATCCAGGCTGCAGCGTCCTGCGCACGGTCCATTCTCAAAGTGGCGCAACCAAAGAACTATAATTAACACACGATCGTTCACGTCCACTCATGTTCTCTACTTTCTGTCTTATTTGTGCGTGAAGCGCTCTGCTACTGTGGAGCTCTTCACCTGTGGTGCGGTGATTTCACCTCACTGACGCAGCATCGACACGCGCTTTGCGGTCAGGAGATCCCTTTGATCTGCTCAGAAGTAACTGATGAGGTGAAAAAGTAAGAATCCAGGCAGCAGTTTTTCTGGAGAGTTTAGAGGAGATGCAGGAAGATGAGAGACAGACAGGACAGGAAAATAGTTCAATAAAAACAAGAAAACAAAACAAAGTGTTGAAAAGTTAAATGTAGGTAGATTTATCTCCACTACACGTTTTTACCTGTATAAAACAATAAGTTATACACATGTAATATTTATACATTTGATACAATTCAGATCACCTTCAAAACTCAGTCACACACCCAGGGCCGTTTCAAGGCATTTTTGGGGCCAAGGCAAAACAGAACACCCCCCCCCCCCCCCCCCCCCCTTCAGAACTGGGCTCCCCAGAAGCCTCTGTGTAATCCATACCCTCTCCAGGAGTATTAGTTATACGGTGTGGGTAAAAGCCCCTCAGACATTACTGACATGTTCTAATATTATCAGATGAAAAACTAAATTATCAGACATGCTGTCTCATCTGCTGCTTTTCTAAACTGGCTAAAAGTAACAAAACTATTTGAAAGCCACTATTTGTGGATTCTCTGAAAGTTTCCATGGAGTGTGGGACAACTTATGTTTTCATTGATCCTATCGTCTAATCTCACAGCTGAAACAAGCATCCTTAATAATCTGTGCACAGGAAGCGTACCGATGCTGTAGTAAAACAAAAGGTATAATAATTTATTATTAATAAAACCTTGTTGCAGCACTAAAGTAGAAAAATGAGATTTTGCAATAAATATGCAAAATATTTACATATAAATTGTTTTAGAGACATTTTATTGACAGAATCTGATATTAATTTTAGTTCTCTAATTTCCCTTCCCTGGGACAAATAAAGCTTTTCATTCATTCATTTCATTTTTACAAAAAAATGGGTCCCAGCGTGGTTTGTGTGGCGTTGCCATAGTGTGATGTCATAGGCACAGATCCCCTGTCCTCTTTTTTTGGAAATGGAAATATGATCACCCTATATTAAACAAACTGTCCACCCGGGCTTTTGCGCTGCACAGAGACGCTTCGCTGCCTATGACTTTGAACGTCAGTTGAGAGTCAGTCTCATGCAG